GCTGTGTCTCTCTCTGTCAAATAAATAAATAAAATCTAAAAAAACAAAAACAAAAACAAAACAGTCCTGGGGAATGTATGCATAATTAATAGCTGGAGCCAGATCTCCCAACAAAAACTGGCCTCCATTTAAGTGACTCCTGAGCAGACAAGGCCTAGAAATAGCAAGGAGAGGCTGATGGTCTCAGTCCATGGTGGTGCACAAAGGCTGTTTTGACTTTTAAAATGTTATACTTAAGACAGAATTCCTTCTAGCAGCTAGGAGACCCAGACTTAGAAACAGCAGAGCAGATCCCTGCCCACTTGTGATGTGGAGGGAAGTTCTACATTCAAAATGGTTCCTTTTGTTCTCTTCCTTGGATTTTGTTTGTTGTTGATTTCTAAGATATTCCCATTTGAGATTCATTCCTTTGGATACACCCCTTGTTTAAAATGCACAGGAAGTTGCAAAAACAAAACAAAACAAAACACAAAGCAACACGCAGGAGGAATTCATGAGGGTATGTACAAAGGGAAGGTTTTCAGAGAAAGGCCTGGTGAAATAGTGTGTGTGGTTCAGGACAGATTCTTCCCAAACCCCCTGTTCAGAGTTTTGTCCTGAAGCTGCGTGTCCTCAGAGACTTGGATCCGACAGGTGGTAGGACTCCTCCTCCCCCTACCCATAGAAGACTGGTGTAGAGAGACACTAGCTACCGGTGTCCCACCCCGGCTAAACTCTTGGGTTTGCCGTTCTTCAGGTGGTCTGGGCCAAGACAGAGAAGATTGGCTGTGGTTCCCACTTCTGTGAGAAGCTCCAGGGTGTTGAGGAGATCAATATCCAACTGCTGGTTTGCAACTATGAGCCCCCGTGAGTGCCCAGGGATCCCTGGGGGTAGAGGATGGGCAGAACCAAGGGCAGGGTTGAGTTGGGCAGTCTAAGAATGTGGGGGGCGGGAGCCCTGGGTGGGTCAGTTGGTTGGGAGACTGCCTCTGGCTCAGGTCATGATCCTGGAGTCCCGGGATCGAGTCCCGCATCGGGCTCCCTGCTCAGCGGGGGGTCTGCTTCTGCCACTGACCCGCCCCCCCCATGCTCTCTCTCTCTCTTTCAAATAAATAAATAAAATCTTAAAAAAAAAAAAAAGAACGTGGGAGGGGGCCACTCCGGGGCCTATACCCCATACCCTTGGGGGAGCTGCGAGGGCCCCTATGGGAGTCTGCTCTCATTGGCCCTGCAAGCTAGTTGGGAGCAAGTGAAGACCCAGGGGTACTTCCCGCCTAGGTATGTGTATGAGGGATAGGGACAGGGGTCTGTAGGGACCGCCCCGCCCCCAGTATCGTCCTCGCCTCCCGCAGGGGGAACGTGAAGGGAAAGAGACCCTACCAGGAAGGGACTCCGTGCTCCCTATGTCCCTCCGGCCACCGCTGCGAGAAGTCCCTCTGTGGTGAGTTGGGGGTGGGGTGGGCAGGAGAAGGAAGGGGCGACAGGGGATGCCGACAGAATGGTCCTTCGAGCCTCCGGGGACTCCCGAGCCGTGCACGGGCAGGGGGAGGGGTCTGGCGGGACGCGACCTACCGGGCCCTTAGCGGGCCCACCCTATCCGGGTTCCCAAGCCCACTTCGCTTTCCTTGCGCACTGTGGCGCCCTATCATTCAAAGTGACCGGATTTTAACCCTCCGAGCGGACGGTAGCGGACAGAGTCTGCGGGCTCCCGAGCGTCGGGCGAGGTGGGCGTGGCCAGAGGAAAGGGCCCCCTGGTGGGGCGGGGCCTAGTGGGGGGCGTGGCCAGGTGGACTTGGACGCGCCTGCGACGCGGTGGACGTGTTAGGCACAGGCATCGAGCTCGAGAGTCCCCTGAGCTAGTGGATGTGTGAGTGCGGAGAGGAAGATTGGGACGAGGAGGTGGATAGAGGAGACACTGTTATAATGTTATAATGAAATAACATTTGTTATCAATGAAGGCCGTTGTCGCTGGAGGGGATGTGTGTTTGTGTGTCATCATAGGACATTTGGTCGCCTCGCCTTGATTGTGGTGGGGTGAGGGATGTGGGGTCCTGCTGTACACTAACGCCAGGCCTTGTTTCTTGTCAGAACCCATCATAGGCCCGGAAGAGGCTCAGGATTTGCCCTACCTGGTAACTGAGGCCCCATCTTCCCCGGCAACTGAAGCTTCAGGCTCTCGGAAAAGCAGTATCCCTTCCTCCCGGGCAACGGAAACTCCATCCTCCTTGGTAACAGAGGTCTCAGGCCCTCTGGCAACCAAGGCCCTACCTGCTGTAGAAACCGAGGCCCCATCTTCCTTACCAACGGAAGATTCCCCCTCCATTGCAACAGAGGCTCCACCTTCCTTAACAACTGAGGTCCCTTCCTTTTTGGCAACTCACAGCCTGTTCTCCCTGGATGAGGGGCCAGCTACCTTCTCCAAATCAACCCATGATCTCATCTCCAAATTGGCAGACAAAGAGCCCAGCAGGACAAGAGTGCCCTCCAAGAGTCCAGAGAGTTCTCTGCACCCCAAGATGTTCTTGACAGGGACACGGGAGCCACTACCCCACTCCCAGAAGGCGGGCAAGGCTGAGGCCGAGTTGTCTCCTTCCAGTGAGGTCTTGGCCTCAGTTTTTCCAGGCCAGGACCAGACAGGTGAGCTGCCGGCCACACTGGACCACATGGGGCACACCTCCTCCAAGTCCCTGTCCAACTCCCCCAATACCTCTGCCACCGCTAAGGCCGTGGGCGGGCGGACCCTGGCTCTGCAGTCACCTTTAGCAGGTAAGCCCTGTAGTGTTCGTCCCACCTTCCCTCCTTGTCTCCAGAACGTCAGCACCCTGCCCCCAGCATCGATGTTACGGGCATAGCGGGGCATGCACCCTCTGAGTGAGAGCTTCCTCCCGGGCTGCTGGCCCCCCCACTTGCATGCCTGGCAGGGAGGGTGGGAGGCCAGGCAGAACTGCGTCCACGCTGAGACAAAGCCTCTCCCTCCCCACAGGTGCAGAGGGCCCTGAAAAGCCTAGCGTCAAGTCAGGGCTAAACTCGGGCGCTGGTCACATCCGGGGCCCCCTTCTGGGACTGCTGCTACTGCCTCCCCTGGTGCTGGCTGGAATCTTCTGAAGGGGCCGCCACTCAAAGGCAAGGCCTGGTGGGGAGACACTGGCCTCATGCCCACTCTGGACTGTCTTTCTCTGAGTAGGAGGCCACAGTTTCCTGGGCAGGTCCTGCTCTGTGGCCCCAGTAGCCCCCGTTGACCCCAGCTTTTGGCCAGACTCCAGGCCAGTGCCCTCGCGCCCTCAGGAGGCCTCTATAATGCCAACTCCTGGCACTGCCCCAGGCGTGCCTCTGCCTGGGCGGAGGTCCACCCCTCAGCTAGCTGCAGGTTGTTCTGAGCAGTGTTCCTGTGGCCACTTGGGCTCATTCTCCAGTTGTCCTGTGGCTGTGGTTCTGCTCTTCCAGGGACAGAACATCTCAGTGCTTCCCAGAAACCCCTTGACCCCTCCTAGTCCCCTAGCTTCTTCCTTAAGCCATGTGAGTCTGACGCTGTTCCCTGCCTTCCCAGGCTGAAGAGGTCAACTGTCCTCCTGCCATCTCCCCCAACCTGCCCCCCACCCCCCAGACAAGATGCTTCTTGGCTGAAGGCCCTCCGGACAGGAAAGGCTGCGGGGCCCGCACCTCATCCACAGATGCCTTGGAGGCACGAGGCCTGCCACCTGGCCCAGACCCCTCCTGCCCCTCCCATCTCAATCCTGGGGTCGGGGGGATTCAGGGGAGATCCCTGCCTACCAGGCTTGGGACCGTCTGCCTCTGCAGGTAGGGGGTTCTCCCTGAGTGCCCCCTCCCCCTACTTGCTGACGTAGCTGGGGAGGGGGGTTGTGAGGAGATGAAGGACAAGCCCCACCTGAATGGGGTTCTACACGGCGGGGGGGGGGGGCAGGCAAGGACCAAGGAAGGGAAGCAGCCCCCGACTCCTGAATAAAGCCTGTGTAAGAGTACTGAGTCTCTGTGCTTATGAGGGGTAGCGGGCGAAGGAAGGCTCTTTGAGAGGCCCTGAAGAGGCTCCCCTTTCAGCCCCAGCACCTGCTCCCCCTCCTACACACCTCCTCTCCCCACACACTCCACCTAGTCCTTTGGGGCACCTTTCTTTTCCTTCCTATAAACTGCCCCCCCTCCCCAACTCAAATCTTCCGGCAGCCAGCAGGAAGGAGGAAGGGCCAAGGGCTGACTCCCCCATCTCCAGGGGTCACCTGTGGAGGCTTAGTTGGGTTTTACACCCAGAATCAGGGAGTGGCATACAGCCTCTTTACGGGTGCTGTTGCCTGGGCCCATCTAGTACACCAGGCCAGAAGGCTTTGCCAGCCCTGGGTGCTCAGAGGAATCCTGAGAAAGGGTTCTGGAGTCCCAGACACACTCCCCCAGGGGAGCATAGCAGGACTGCGCAGAGCGCTGTGGGGCAGGAAAGTGTGTGTGTGTGTGTGTGCGTGTGTCTGTCTGTCTAGCAGCAGGTGACAGGAAAGTGTGTGTGTGTGTGTGTGTGTGTGTGTGTGTGTGTGTGTGTCTGTCTAGCAGCAGGTGACAGGGTAGGCAGCTTGGGCCCAAGCTGCAGCTGGTGGGGACGGGCAGAGTGACGGTCTCCAGGCCAAAGCTGAAATGGGAGCAAACAGGAAGCATGCAAGTCAGGCTGTGTGTGTGTGTATGACATAATGTATTAAGATATAACCTAATGATATAAATTAAGATATAACGCATTTAAAGTGTGCCACTCAATGGTTTTTAGTATATTCAGAGTGGTGCAACCACCAGCACAGTCAATTTCAGAACATTCTCAACACCCCAAAAAGAAACTCCCTCCCCATTAGCAGCCACTTTTCATTCCCCTTCCACCCCAAGCCCTAAGCAACCACTGATCTATTGTCTCTATGGATTTGTCTATTCTGACATTTTGTATAAATGGGATCATACAATAGGTGGCCTTTTCTGTATGGCTTCTTTCACTGAGCATAATCTTTTCTAGATTTATCCATGTTGTAGCATGTGACGGTATTTTATTCCTTTTTATTACCAAATAGTATTCCCTTGTATAGAATACATTTTATTTATCCGTTTGTCAACTGGTGGACATGTGGGTTGTTTGTGCTTGTTGGCTATTATGAATGATGCTGCTATAAACATTCACGTAAAAGTTTGTGTGGATACGTTTTCATCTCTCTTGGGTATACACCTAGCAGCAGTATCATAGGGTAATGCAGTCACTCTATGCTTAACTTTTTTAGGAACTGCCAGACTGCTTCACCATTGCACATGCACGCCAGCAATGTACGAAGGTTTCCATTTCTCCACGTCTTCACCAATACCTGTTATCTGTCTTTTCAAAATCACAGCCATCCTAGTGAGTGTGAAGTAGAATCTAATTGTGCTTTTGATTTTCATTTCCCTGATGGCTAATGATGCCAAGCACATCTTTCTATGGAGAGAGTTCTTTTGCCCATTTTTTAACTGGGGTACTTGTCTTATTGTTGAATTGTAGGGATTCTTTATGTAGTCTAGATACAAGTCCCTTACCAGATATATAATTTTAAAACATTTTCTCTCATTCTGTGAGTTGTCTTTTCAATTTTTCTTTAGGATGTCCTCTGAACACAAGTCTTTTAATTTTGATGATATCCAATTTATTTCTTTTGTTGTTGTATCTAAAAAACCGTTGCCTAATCCGAAGTCAGAGATTTACGCCTATGCTTTTTTCTAAGAATTTTATTGTTCAATTCTTATATTTAAGCCTTTGATCCATTCTTAGTTGATTTTCATATGTGGTGTAAGGTGGGAGTCCAACTTCATTCTTACACTTGTGAATATCCAGTTGTCCAAGCACTTTTTGTTGAAGGTGATTCTTCCTCCGTTCACTTGTCCTGTTGCCTTTGTCCAAAATCAATGGGCCTTAAATGTGAATGTTTATTTCTGGACTCGCAATTCTGTCCCATTGATCTGTATGCCTATCTTATGCCTGTATCACATCATCTTGATTATCGTAACTTTGTAGTTAAGTTTTGAAATTGTGAAGCGTGAGTCCTCCAATTTTGTTCTCTTTTTCAAGATTTTTTAGCCTATTTTGGATCCCTTGAATTTCCATTTGAATTTTAGTGTCAGCTTGTCAAATTTCTGCAAAGAAGTTGGCTGAGATTTTGACAGGGTTTGTGTAATCTGCCATCGAAGTCTTCCAATCCATGAACATGGGTTGTCTTTCCATTTATTTAGGTCTTTACTTTTGTTCAACAATGTTTTCTAGTTTTCAAAGTACAAACTGTGCGATTTTTTTGTTAAATTCGCTCATATTTTATTTTTGATGCTATTATAAATGAAACTGTTTTATTAATTTCATTCTCACTTTGTTCAACTGTGAATGTAAAGAAATATGATTGTGTATCAATTTTATATTCTGTACCCTTGCTGAATTCATTCATTAGTTATAAACAGTGTTTTTAGTGGATTCTTTAGGATTTTTTTTAAAGATTATTTGAGAGAGAGAGAGAATGAGCAGGGAGGAGGGGCAGAAGGAGAGGGAGAAGCAGACTCCCTGCTGAGCAGGGAACCCCATGTGGGGCTCAATCCCAGGACCCTGAGGATCATGACCTGAGCCAAAGGCAAACACTTTACCGACTGAACCACCAGGTGCCCCAAGATTTTCTATCTACAACATCATGTCATCTGCAGAGATAGTTTTACCTCTTCCTGTCTAACCCTGATAACTTTTGTTTCCTTTTCTTGCCTGATTGCCCTGGCTGGACCCTCCAGTACAATGCTGAGTAACGGCAAGAGCAGACATCCTTGTCTTGCTCTTGATCTTAGGGGAAAAACATTAGGTGTTTCATCATTCAGTCTGCTAATTATGGGTCTTTCAGAGATGCCATTTATCAGGGTGAGGAAGTTAAATTCTTAGGTTTTTGAAAGTTTTTGTCATGAAGGGGTATTGATTTTTGTCCAATACTTTTTCTGTGTCTATTGAGATGGTCGTATGCTTTCGTTTCTTATTCTAAGTATAAAGAGTATTCCGTTTTTCAGATGACGACCCAACTTGTGATCCTGAGCCCAGGGGTCCTTCCCTTCTTGGGCCTGTTTTCTCAAGCTAGCCCTAGGTCCTATGAGGTAGCAAGTGAGGGAGCCTCTGAACTGAGCAGGACTGTCTAAGGCCAAACCCATCTTTCCTAGTTTTGGGGTGGGCTCTGCTTGCCTCCTTACAAAGCAAGAGCATCTGTGGCCAGCCCTCAAGAAACCTGTCACATGAAGAGAACCCATCCAAGACCGGAAGCAGGGACCTCTTTGGAAGTTCATTTTTGGGGAAACAAGACATGGTGTCCCATACTAGTCAGAAAAGGCTGTGACAAATGGGCAGAGATGGGATGTGTCAGCACAAGCCCATGAAGATAGGAGGGCATGTTCAGAGGGGAGGGGGGCTGGCACTCTGAGGCCTCAAGGACCAGAGTGGGGAGCACTCTGCTGTGTCGCTCCCAGGCATCTGGGGACTGGCAAAGCTCCAAGGGCTACCGTAGGATCCAGCACAGGCCACCACTGCCAACTCAGGCTTCAGTCACCACAGGGGGCCCCAAAAGGCCGATGAGAGGATTTCCCAGCTTTGTCCATCAGAACAGGAGGAGTGGATGGAGACTTACTCCCCACGAGGACATTCCCACTCCTGTCACACCTCCTTTTGCTGACAGCTCAGCTCCCCTCCTTCCCCGCTCCAACCCCATCTCCTTTCTCAGCTAAAAACCCTATCACTCTAGTTCCCAGACTGACAGGGAAATACCAGGTGCTCCAAAGGTAGGTGACACTTCAGCCCTCAAACACAGAAGGGTCCCGCAAAGGGGACATTTAACACGCACAATACCCACATCTGAATACTGAATTGAAAAACATTAGGGGTAAAACCTGTACTTTGCTCAACTAAAAACTGAGAGTATCAGGGGGACTTTCTGGCTGTTTCTGGCTGTGGGAGACAGCCTGGGAAGTGCAGCCTGGACCCTGAAATTCACAAGTCCCCAGATACTACTTGGGGGCAGAACTGGCTCTCCTCGGGGTGACCCGCCACACCCACCCACAGCCCACTCTTTACCAGAGGCGGCCTCTCCAAATGTCTGAGGGGATGGCTGTCAGAGGGAGGGTCTCCAGCGCCAGCTCAGCTCAGGTTCCAGAGTGCCCTACTTCTGGGGGGCCATAGGAAGGAATCAATGAAAAAGCTAGGATTTGAGGGCAGAGCAACAGGAAGAAAAGTCGTCCCCCAACAGTGCTAGGCAGGGAAACCACAGTGGGCTGGAGAAAGGTCACGTGCCGTGAGGCAGACATGCCTCTGAAGGGCCTTCCTTCTCTAAAAAAATGGTGCCAGCCAGGCCAGGCCCGCTCACCTTCCTCACCTGCGCTCCCCTTCCCGGGCGCTCCGGCAGTCTGAAGTGAGTATGGGATCTCAGAGGCCCCAACCAGCGGTCCCTTACAGGACGCCCACACAGGCATGCTCCTGCGCTCTCGGGGACCAAGGATACACAAAGTAAACTGCCCTCAAGTCAACGGCTACTAGACCGCTGGGGAAAATCGGTTCTGCCAAAGTACCCCGAGGGGCCTTCCCTGGGGGTGACCCAGCCCATACCTGTGAGAAGCAGGACCAAAGTCACTTCTAAGACCCCCAACTCTCCGAAACCACTCCCCTAGAACAAGTGCAGAGAAACACTTGGGGAACTCAGCCGGACCCCAACTGGTACTCAGACCCCATCAGATGGAAACCCGTGGTCCCCAGAGGGGTTCCGTCTGTAAGTTCTGCTGGTTTTACAAACCCGGGTGTTGGGAAGAAGCGAATTAAGGGAACTCTGCCTCTTCCAGAGAAGGCAGAGCTCAGTGCTTTAGCTGGGCCCACTCTACCCCTTCCGCTGTAACCATGCGACCACTATACCAAATGACTCAGCAAAATCCGAGACTGTCAGGGGCAAGCGGTGCTGAGCTGATGGGGTGCGGGTGGAACACTTTCTGAAGCCAGTAGGGCCTCTACAGGCGCTGCCTTCCTGTTCGTAGGCCTATGCCCTAGCTGTTGCTTTGTGAACTGGCATCTTGACCTTGTGTAATTCACAAGATCATCCAACGGCCTCCCCCACGGCTGGTCTACACCAAGGCCTGGCACTTGTCATCCCCAGGCTGAGCCGCCCCCGACCCCTTCTCACACAAACACAGAGGGCTGAGGAGGACCCTGCAGATAGCTGCTACATCCATAAAAATAACACGCTCCCCACAAAACTCCAAATCACCACCAATACATTTATTTGAGGGAGACAAGGTCAGATCTTATCGGGAACTTTTAAACCGAATAGTACGAGAGACACTGGCCTGCCTAACTTCCGGGTGTTCACAACTGCGCAGGGAACCAGATCCTGTACGTAAAGCCTCACCACGAAACCCACGAGCATTTGACGAGGGAGACACATTTGGAGCAGTCACGTGATTTCCCGTTCAGAAAGTGCCGCCTCTGTGTCAGAGGAGTAGTGTTGAGAAACATGAAGGCAGCACCTAGCAAGAGCTTCCTAGCACAGGCCTGCACATGATGGTGGCCTCGTGCAAGGGGACCACGCCCTATTTACAAGCAGGAGAGCAGGCTCCCAGCTGAGCTGCAGAATGATGGCTGGGGCTGACTGCGGGGGGGGGGGGGGGGGGGGGGGGGGGGGGGGGGGGGTGGGATCTGACTTCGTGAGCCTCTTCCCATCCTACCTGGGCCTCCACGAGCCATTCTCTGACCCCTTGCATAGGACAGACTCGGTAAATCTGTGAAGGAAGGGGGTTCTGCCCCAATTCCCTAGCCCCACCCCACCTTCCCCAGGTCTAACAGGTAACCCATCCACTGGGTGCAGCCTCCCCCACCACCCGACCCCCACTGCTGGACAGACACACGGCAAATATGGAAACTGAAGCCCCGCTGGCCGGGCTGGACTCATCTGACAGGTGCCCGAGATGATCAGGCCCCACCCGCAGTGGCGAGGCTGAGACACGGTGTTTTTTCAGGGGATTCAGGTTACTCCAGGGCAAAGCACGATCCTGATGACACCCGGCGGAAAAGCAAGCTGGAGCCGCGGAAAAGCTGGCCCTGGATTGGAAGGAACGGGCAGGTCAGTGACCGGGGAGGCCATACTTCTCGTCCCGCCCCACAGCAAGGCCAGCATGAAGCAAAGGAGGGGTCAGCGGGCAGAGACCGTAGGGTCGGGGTGGAGGGCGTAGGCTGGCAGTCTTAGACGGCAAGGCCAGAATATGCCCTGCACTGAAGTACCAGGGAGCAGTTCGCTTCCCATCACAGGGTGTCCAGTGTCGCTGGGGCTCCCCAGCAGGCAACCCCCAAAGAGGACAACCGTCGCCCTTCCGGCTTCAGAGACTTCTGGGACTCCCCAGCGCCCACGGGATGTGAAGCACGCAGCCCGGACTGGAACCACTGGGAAGAACGGGGTCCGCCTCCCGCCCCTCCTTGCTTCCCTCTCGTCTGTCCTCTTCTCAGCCCTGAGGCCTGTCGGTGTGCTGGCTCCTCCCCAGACCACTGCCCCGCTCTGCTTCAAGGGGAACCAAGGCTAGGCAAAGGCAAGGATCTGCCCCGGGCCAGATGCCTGGATCCTTGACCTCTGCGCCCAAGAGCTCCAGGCCAGTAGGAGGGTGCTTGGGCCAAGAACACGAAATCCCGAGACTGGCACCCTTGCCACGTGGCCCAGCTCAAGCCTCAGGTTCTCCTGAGGGCATCGGGATGTCTTGCGGAAGCGCAGGGTCGGCCTTGGACACGGCAGCCACCGTGTTTTCAGCTGTGTTACTCAAGGACTAAGATCTTGGGCTTCACCACCTACTCCGTGGGCTCCCTCAGAGTCCTCCTTCTAAGAGTCTTTAAGAGTTGAAGAAAAAAGGAGACTGTGTCTACTATAAAATCTGTAAGTAAATTCAGATCTAGCGACCTCACGTCCTTTCTAAAATAAAATGAAAATTTAATGAAAATGCCTTAAACCAAGAGTCTATATTCTCTTTATCCTCCCTCCGACAATTGGATCCCATGACAATCTCTCATCTTTCCACGCAATATAAAGCCCACAAAACCATCTGACTTGATTGGTGTGGGGGAAGAATTGGGAGGGACCTTCTCTGTTGGGAGCTTGCTTACCTGCACGCTCAGGTATTTCCAGCAGTGGATCCAAGACTTGAACACGGGGGAGTACGGGGGGAGCCCGGCCTGCAGCCTGCCCAGGAAGGAGAGCATGTTAGACCCTCTGAACGATGGGAGATGGCTCAGCCAAGGCAAAGGTGATCTCAAGGAATGGCTTGGAGCTGCCACCACCCATATCCTGAATCATGGATGCAGCCCAGAGGGGCACGGTGAATCCCAGAAGATGCTACGGTACCTGGCGGGTGGTGGGGGGCGTGGTGGGTGGTGAGCCTACACACAGACCAGGCGGGAGAAAGCAGAGCACTGGACAAGCTGAGCTGGACCCCCCCCAGCCCCCCCAGCCCTGGCAGAGTGCCTGGGGGAGGGCTGCACACCTACCCGCAGTTGTTCACAGCCATGAGGTCACCAACCAGCAGGAAGGGGTAGGTCAGCATGCTCACTGCAATCTGAAACCCAGGGAGACCTGAGTGGCAGTGACCCCACCACCACTGGTCCCGACTTGGGGAGCAAGGGCATACCGTGCCAACACCCGACACCCAGGCGTGCCTCCAGCCACCGCCAGAGCTGGCCGCCTAAGCCCCACCCAGGCCCAGAGGGCAGCAGAAAGGGCAGCTAGCTGAGCCAGCGTGACTTACCCCCATCACAAATTTGGTGTAGCTCCGGATGGCCAAGGCCTGGCTGAACTGGAGACAGAAAGGAAGACTAGTTTGCTACAGGTACCTCGGGCTGCCCTTCAGATAAGCACCCTTGCCCCATGCTGCCTGGTCTGCGGCCCCCCAGCCTCACCCCGTACACTGGCCTCACACCCGCTCTGGGCTCAGGTCCCCTCACATTGCTGCGTATACTGCGTTCCCTTCTAGGGCCTGCCAGTGGCTTCTGTGGCCTTGAGCCAGAGCCAAAAGCAGCCCCGGGAGGCGGAAGTGGGGGAGAGGCCTAACAGGACTTCCGAGACTCAGCCAGGGATGGTGAGGAGCTGCTGGCCTGTGTGCCCCACTTAGCTGTGAGTTCCAAGAGTCTGGCCCATGTCTGCCTTGATCAGTGTCCAGGGCTTGGCACACAGTTGGTGCTCAGTAAGTGCTTGCTTAATGGAAAGACAGACACCCACCCCAACTCCCCAGACACAGAATCCTGGTCCTGCAGCAAGAGGCGAGGGGAAGCTCTAAGCTTATTGCCACCCCCCTACCTTACCAAGCTCTCACCCGCCTCGGACTCCCAAGATCTGGATTCTACTTTGCCCAGAAAAGAGCCCCTCACTAGGAAGGGGGAACTCCCTGTCCCTCAGCTTCCAGGAGCATGGCCATCCTAACAGGTGGCTACCCTGTCACCTTGGATGGAGGCCTGCCCAGCCCTCTGCGTGAATGGCAGCCTTGTCTTAGCCTGTAAGCCACACACAGAAGAGCACTTGAAAACCCCTTTCCATAAAGCTGGAGAAAGCCAATCAGCTGTGGGACACCCCACCCCCAGTGTCGCAGGCTTGCTGTGCGTGTGACAGCAGCAGCTCCTTCATCCATGAGGCCCCGAGAAAGGGCAGGGCCCAGGGTATGTGGGAGAGCTGGTCCCTAAGGAACCACCTGAATTTGCTTACACTGAAAGGCCAATAGGACTCACCTACCCAAGTCAAATGGCCAGACCCGATTTCCCTCTGAGCAGAGGCTCTCAGCTGGGGTGGGACATTCTTCACCACACAGACACATGCCCAGACACAGACGGATACAGACTATGAGCCCCCACCCCACCCCACGAGGTGATCCTGACAGGTCCCCACCCCCTAGCCCCCTGGGCCTGCAATCCCGCTGTTAGAACGTCTGGCTACCAGGAATCCCCTGCCCATCACTGTTCCCCAACTCATCCTGTTTCAGGCTGAACCGGTCAACCCGTCAGGTCCCTAGACACCTTTCTTAAACAAGCACCTTTTAGAAGGACCAACGCCTCCTTGTGCCTGACCCAGCCTGCTGAGGTCTGTGCAGACCACTGCTAACAAAAATAGTGGGGTGCGCCTGCACTGGAAACTTGCCAGGTGACTTAAAAAGCTTCAAGGTGTGGGAAGCGCCCTCGGCCCAGTACAGGAAAAGACCTAGTCCCAGCCCTGTTGATTCCTAGCCAAGTGCCTCGGGAGAGCCTTTCGATCTCTGGGTCTCAACTTCTTTACCAGTAAAATTACACCTGCACTATTCCCTTCACAATTTGGGTGCTGTTGGGATCAAATGTCATAACGTTCACATAAGGGTTCTGAAAAGCTTAAAACATTAAGCAAAAGTTAAAGGGTTACTAGCTAGTCTGTGTCCTGGTTTCCTGATTCATCGTTGGGTCACTGCCTTGGATAAGCTGGGGTCTGTTTTATTTCTGAAGCTGCCCGAAGACGGGCATTCCATGAACTCCTCCAGGTCTGGTTACGGATCTTGAATCTCCTCTCTCTTGAGCCCACTCTCCCCAGAGGCAAAGCTAACCCCAGGACAAAAGGTCCTTTTAGGGGGTGCTGGGTGACTCAGTCAGTTAAACCTCCGACTCTTGATTTCAGCTCAGGCCATGATCTCAGTGTCCTGGGAATTGAGCCCCGTGTCAGGCTCCGAGCTCAGCGGGAAGTCTGCTTGGGACTCTTTCTCCCTCTGCCCCTCCCCCAGCTCATGCTCTCTAAAATAAATAAATAAATCTTAAAAAAAGGGGAGTCCTCTTAGACCACTCCCCAGAGACCCTCTCTAGCCCTCAGGGCCTGGTGCTAAGGCTCCCAGGGTCCTGAGTCTGCCCCAGACCCTGGGTATCAGCAGTACACGGAAAGATTGACAAGTCCTTGTTCCAACCAACCTGGGAACCTGGATTCTGGTCGTTTCCCAGCCCCCCTGGGGTGTCACTCACGCTGTCATCCACCAGGTAGGCATTGATGAAGTGGGCCAGCAGGTTACAGCCCCACAAGAAAACCACATCTCCCAGGAGGTGAGGGATTAAGCCGCTAAAAAACAAGGTGAGCAAAGATGAGCAGGGGGAGGGAGGGGACCATTTCTTGGGGGCTCCATGCCCAGGAAGGAGGCAGGGATGTTCCAAGCTCAAAACGTCAGCATATCCAAGGTACAGCCTCAGGAAAAAAGCCTGCAGGGGCCACATGGACCCGCAGCTACCCACACCAGGAGGGCAGTGTCCTTTTCTCCATGGGGGGTTGTCACAGGCCACATCTGATGCCACAAATTAGTTTCTGGTCTCACAAGTGGTTTTCAAACCAGACGCCAGACCTCAAAATGTGAATGTTGCTAAATCTGGGATTTTCACATGCAGATTATGAAACAGGGTCTACACACTTATAGTTTTCTCCTGGCTTCTCTACCTGATCCACTCTCACGAAACACTTTGCTTGATGCATCTGCTGTCTTCATCCCTAGAATGTTCCACTGAAGACATTCCATACAAGCTTTTGCAAGGAAGGCTGACTGTTAAAGTGATGGCCTTCAGAAGAAACAGCCCTCCACACTGCTATGGAAGGTCCCAAAAATACAGGCAAAAAGCCAGCCTGAGATCAGTGGGTCCCGTGTGCTACTGGTGTTTAATTTTAATGTGTTTATTTGCTTGTTTAGATAATGGAGCAACTTAGAAAACTCTCCAGAAGAGTGGCTATCTCTTGGGAGGGGTGGCAGAGATTTCTGAAATCTGTGAAACTCTTATTTGAAAATATCTGAAGAGCTCAAAAGAATACATCCAACACATCTAGGTGATACGGGATATGAAGAAACTGAAACTTCACAAATGCAGTCTCCAATCTTGATGCGTCCACCTGTGTTCAGACTAACCCCTCACACACACTCTGGTGCCCTCTCAGTGTTGTAACACATACAGGTGTCCCCCAGGCCGCAAATATGTGAAGAACAGAACCCGACGAGTAGGCAGCTGCGTCAGAATCTCTTCACACCCGGGACAAGGACTCTATACAATGAGTGTGAAAACTGCCAGACGTGAAAAAAAAAAACAAAAAACTGCCAGACGTGGTGACTCGTCATTTTATGGTCTGAAGTACCCGTCACATGACCAAATACTTATCCACGTATATTTATACATATATGTATGTATGCATATATATGCGTGAATACGTTGAGTGTGAGTCCGTGTGTGTGTGTGTGTGTGTGTGTGTGTATTAATCCAGGTTTGGAATCCCGGCACTCCCGACACGGAGGACCGGACAGTGCCTCACTGTGGGGGGCTGACCTCTGCCCTGCAGGATCTTTAGCAGCATCCCTGGCCTCTCCCCACTAGCTGCCAACTGTGACAACCAAAAGATGTCTCCAAACATTTCGAGTGTTCCCTGGGGGCAAAAATCCCCTCCCGGTGAGAACCATATAGTAGATATGCACATACACACACGTGCACCTACATGTCATTTCTTGGTTAAGTGAGACCCTAAATAAACACCCCTGACCAGCTACGAAACCACAGTGAATGAACAGAGAACCCCATTATCCAGTATGTTATGTACAGAACAGCGTGTCTGTCACTGCCCAGACCTTAACGAGGCAAAAACAACAGACAGCTGTCAGGAGTGGCTTTGGGGTCTGCTTGTGTCCGGACACGGTCTTTTCAGTATAAGCTTTCTGTGTTATAGGTGACATAAGGTGGGTGGGAGACGCCCAGGAGGGCAGGGGTCTGTGAGCCTCAGGGGGCCATGGGCCCCTGCCACGGACTGCTCTGCACAAACACAGGCCCAGCCAGTCCAGTGCCTTGACCTTTTAGGAGAAGCCAGAGATCCAGATTGTTCTGTGCAACACCCACCATGTTAAACAGAGTGCCCCGGCTTAGGAAGATCAGCCCACTCCCAACCCCAGGGCCAGTGTCTGGCGAAGGGGCCAGTCAGGCCGTCTCCCCCACTGTGCTGGACAAACAGGACCATGTCTGTGTGAGCCGTGACCTGCAAAGGGCCGAGCAGCTTTGGTCCCGGTCATCCGTGGCTCACACGTGCCACGGAGCTCCACGGAGCCGGAATGCAGCTACACGGGAGGGGCAGAGCCCCGTGGTTAGTCTGAGCCTGGCAGCTACGGCCTGAGAAGTCGAGAACGTGTCTGTTAGTAGAGCCGTGCCACGTGGCCAGCTATGAGGTATAGAAACTCACGTACACAAAGAATCCCAGCAGCCCCTCCTCTTTGAAAATCTTCCCAATGGAGCTCAGCACACCGCTGTGAAGAAGGGAAGACAGGGAAATGAGGTCCCCCGGTCACCTTGGAGAAGCCCAGCCCCTGGTGTGGAGGAGAGCCCACCATCCCTGCTCTGAGCCGTGCAGTCCTGGCGGGGATGGAGAGGGGACATTCTCTCTTACCAGGCAGAACCCAAGTAGAGAAGATGAGAGAGCTCTTGTTTGGGGGTGAGGGGAGTGTACACAGTTCATGGAGACACGAAACCCACTCACCCCCAGGACAGAAGCCTAGCAGTTCCCTATTACGGCTTTCTAGGGATCTGGAATTTGGGCATTAGCCTTGCAGTGTGGGCTACTGCAAAGACAACAGGCCTCTCTCCTGCCTGGCCCTAGTGCTTCTCTCTGAAGTAACCTTCCAGCAGAGTAGCCTGCATGTCTGACAGCGGAAGAGCAGGAGGGGTGGTGGTGGGGGGATCCACCTGCCCAGAGAGCAGAGAAGGAAAACAGAGCCCTGCAGGAGACCCTGGCACCAGACAGCCCAGATGCAGCCTGGGAAGAAGCACCCAGCCCTCCCCAGCAGCTCAGAGATCAAAGGACAGGCTGGTGCCTTAAGTATGAAATGCAAACGAGGCTCAAGAGCAATCTCTGGGACTTGTGGCTAGTGATGCCAAGTGGCCCATCCTACATGGAGTTCCTCCAAAGTCTAGGTGGCAAAGGAAAGCTAAAAGAAGATGGAGATGGTGGGAGCCAAAGCACTGGCTAGCGCCGCTCCTAAGGCACCCAGCCCTGCCAGGCCCCACAGCCCTTCTTTAACAGTGGCGTGGCCCACTGGGGCTCTGAGCCAGATCATCCCCTCCCGGTCCTGTCGACCAACATCACGTTTCAGTTTAGGAGAATGGGCCAACTTCCGATTAGTGAACCCAAAATGAGGCCATGGCAGTGGAGCTCCCTGGGGCAGTGGTCCCATAGGACAGCTGCAGAAAACGGAAGCCAGGAACTGAGTCTTAGGAGGGGTCCCAGAGACTGTCCTCCCGCCACGTGCCGCCTGCTGTCCTGCACCGAGCTTCACAGGGGCAGAGAGGGCACAACTGCCACGGGGGAGGGTTGTGGCCCCGCAGCTACGTCCCCACAGCTCCCAGCTCAGGGCCGGGCGCGGCAAATGCTGGGGAAGTATTTGGTGAACAACCGAGGGGACGGGCCCACACCCACAGACAGGACAGCCTCGTAACAGAAAATCAAACAAGCTAAATGGTTAGGGCATAACTAGGGGTTCCAGGATGGAACCCTAGCTCAGTCCCGAGGGGCACAATCCGAGCCAACTCCGCTCCCACTCACCCCCTCGGCAGGGTTGCCGGGATCAGCCAGGGCAGCCCTGGATGGGCAACGGAGAGGAGCAGATGCCCCTGCCACGTTCCTTGGACACTAGCACATCAGAACGACAGCAGAAGAGGGACAGCACCTGACCCCAGCGCGGCCTGTCCTGGCAGACTCTTGAGTGGTGACAGGGCCACTCCTGCCAGTTCTGGAAGAATTACCCACCTGTACTTGGCCTCCCGTCCCACAAATTGGACCATGCAGCGCATTGAGATGACTGAGGAAAAAGAAACACACAAGGGTGACACGGTGGCCAAAGCCCATGGCACCCAGCGGTGGGGTGCCCACTGCCGTGGAAACCGCGCGTGGCCTGTGTCAGCGCAGGAGGGGTAGGAGGGCCTCGGGGATTCTCTGTCACACCCCGTGACCACAGCATCCCGTTTCTTCTGCCTGGGAAGGGCCCCGGCTCCCTCCAGACAGGACTCCCCACCAGCTTCTCCTCAGCACAGTTCCAGCAGAGGACCCCCACCCGACTACACTTCCCGGTGATCTAGCACTGCCCGGCTTCGGTCCGCAAGGGGTTACCCCATAGCTGAGAAGCAGTCTCCAGTGGGGTGGCTCACCATGCAGGGGGTGGGCCAGCATGCGGGACACACACTGCATCATCATCTCGTAGGAGGTCTGGAAGAGAGCAGAGGGTGGGGATTCGGTCTGCCCTCTCTCGGGAACTGGCACTCAAGGGGAACCACAAACTCTTATAGAGGAAAAACTGGGATCCCACAGCCCCCAGAGGGGTCAGTCGACCTGGGATCACCCCACTTGTCAGCTACCCCCCGATCCCCTCCACCCAGGAGTGCTGCTGAGTCTTGCACTAGGCCCCACGATGGCCGAGAGGCTTTGGGGTATTCCTTACAGCGTCCTTACAGGACTCCTTCCATGTCCCACCCTAGCCACGCACACACGAGGAGCCAAACCTGTGTCTCTTCAATGACCCAGCTGACTCGGCCATGAGAAGTAATCAGACTCCCCTCCCAGGGCCTCTCCCTCTCCCAACTCCAGATACCCACCTCCTTCACTACTTTCCTCAGAGAAGTCTTCATGTCATCCTTGTTGGAAACCTGTTCGATCTCATCTGGAGGGAAAACCTGAGATACAAAAAACAAAGGAGGGGGGCGCCTAGCTGGCTCTGTCATACAGCATGCGACTCTTGATCTCAGGGTTTTGAGTTTGAGCTCGAGCCCATACTGGCGTCAAGCTTACTTAATTAAGAAAAACAAACAAAAACAAAAAAACAAAAAAGGAGGGCCAAAAGCAAAGTACAGCTATGCCTCTTAAATGTCACACTTAAGGGACAGGGACGGCAGGAACCAGCTCCTACTATTTTCCCTGTAGCTGGGTCCACCTCTGGTAACCCCAGGCCTGGAGTTTGGGGGGTTGGCGGGGAGCCCCTGCCTGCCTGGTGTCACAGTTGTAGGCAAGCGGGAGGACTATGGGGCAGGACCCTTCCCAATCAAGGAGACGCAGCGTGCGACCACCAGGGTCTAGAGCCCGGCTGTGGTGCTAGGGTGTAGCCGGGGAAAGGAGAAATGGACCGGCACACACGGCTGTCTCTGGGGCTGGCAGGGAGCTTGGGGGAACTTCAGGCAACTGCTCCTGGCTTCGCCCCAGGCTCACCTTCTTCATACTGCCCCGAGTCACCGTGGAGAGGGCGTTGGACATCAGTCGGGGGCTCAGGCCTCGGAAGAGCCCTATCTTCCCATCCACCTGCACAATGTACTTGGCTATAAGAAAGCAGAGGTGGCCGTGTCACGCCCGGCCCAGACATACCCACCCCGGGTCACACTCACTCCCAGACCCGATGTGGCCTGTCCCTCAGTCACGGAAGGGGCAGCTATCTATCCAAAACCCCAGAAGCGATTGGGCCCCAACGCCAAAGTCTTCTCTAGCCCATTTCTTTGTGTAAAACCTTCAAAATGTATTTTCGACCAACAAATTCACGTATTTTAACTTTGCAGAAATATTTGGCAAGCTCAGCTACAGTTTTTCAACTCAGCAACTTCAGTGCTACAACCCAGAAACCAATTCCGCCTCTTATAAAAAATGCTTTTCTTGGGGCACCTGGCTGGCTCGGTCAGAGACGCACTCAACGCTTGATCTTGGGGTTGTGTGTTCCAGCCCCACGTTGGAAAAATAATTTTAAAAAAATGTTTTCCTGGGACGCCTGGGTGGCTCAGTCGTTAAGCGTCTGCCTTCGGCTCAGGTCATGATCCCAGGGTCCTGGGATCGAGCCCCGCCTCGGGCTCCCTGCTCCCTGCTCGGCGAGAAGCCTGCTTCTCCCTCTGCCACTCCCCCTGCTTGTGTTCCCTCCCTCGCTGTGTCTCTCACTGTCAAATAAATAAAATCTTAAAAAAAAAAAAAAAAATGTTTTCCTTTGGGGCAAGAAAAAAAGGAAAAAGGCAGAGAGTGCCCACAGGCGACGATGAAGTTTGGAACCTAAGGGAGGAAAAAAGGGAAAAGGAAGAAAGGCTCAAGAGCATCCCCTAAGCACACCATGGAGAAGGCCATCTTCATACTGTCACTGTGCTGCACCCAGGCTCCCCCCTGGTACCCATTAGCATTTATGAATCACAGCAGGGGGTGGGGAGTAGGAGGGGGCGACATAACTAGTGGAGGAGTAACCAAAACAGGCACCGGTGAACTATTCTATAGAAAAAACATAAGCAGTCAGGGAAGCTAGACCCTACCTGAATGAGTGTTTTTTTCTTGTTCTTTTCAAGACTTCTTTCTTTCTTCGAGAGAAAGAGAGAGAGAGAGAGAGAGAGTGCGCGCGCCAGCATTCTAACATGTGTGCATGTGAGCAGGAGGGGGGCAGAGAAGGAGGGAGAGAGAGAATCTCAAGCAGACTCCATACTCAGCGCAGAGCCTGATGTGGGGCTCCATCTCATGGCCCTGAGACCTTGACCTGAGCCAAAATCAAGAGTCTGAGGCTCAACTGCCTGAGCCACCCAGGCGCCCCCGTATTTTTTCATTAGGGTCTCTAAAAGGATACTTCTCTTAATGTTTCATTATTTTTTTTAAAGATTTTTATTTATTTTTTTATTTGAGAGAGAGAGACAGAGACAGAGCACTTGCACGTGGCGGGGTGGGGAGCAGAGGAAGAGGAACAAGCAGACTCTGCACCAAGCACGGAGCCCAGTGTGGGGCTGGATCCCAGACCCTGAGATCATGACCTGAGCCAAAACCAAGAGTCGGAAGCTTAACCAACTGAGCCACCCAGGCACCCCTGAAGATTTTATTAAGTACCCACTACACCCAATGTGAGGCTCGAACTTAGAACCCCAAGATCAAGAGTCACATGCTTTACCAACTGAGCCAGCCAGGCGCTCAAATGAAACCTTTTAAACTATGTTCAAGGTGATGTGTTCTCATGAGAGACAATGAACTCTGAAAAACAAACTGAGGGTTCTAGAGGGGAGGGGGGTGGGGGGATGGGTTAGCCTGGTGATGGGTATTAAAGAGGGCACGTTCTGCGTGGAGCACTGGGTGTTATACGCAAACAATGAATCATGGAACACTACATCAAAAACTAATGATGTAATGTATGGTGATTAACATAACATAGTAATAAAAAGAAAATAAGAAAAAAAAGAAAGAAGCTGATGTGTTCTTATAAACCCGCATAACTAGAAGCTAGCAGAACTTTTTCTCGGCCCCTGAGCGCCCCTTCCAGACCCGACTTCAGCTCCTTAGCACTGCCCAGTGGCAGGAACCAGCAAAAGAGCCTTTCTCTCCAAAGCAACCTGTCTGCCAACCCAGCAAATTCAATGTCACTGCTGGAACAGGCTTGCCTTGGGGCCCCGAGAGCACCTGTTCCTTGCATATTTGGCTTTCTGAGATGGGGGTGGGGCTGGAGAGAGAGGAAGAGGAGGGGACCGGACACTGGATGCCGTGGCAGGGTGCCTTGCTTCACAGAGTGAACAGGCAGGAGGAAGGTTTATTTTGGGGGAGGGGGGCTCCAGGCAACAAAGAGACGCAGGCGGGGTAAAGCCTCAGTGCGATCGCCACTGAGTCACTTAGCCTCTTTCTACCCGATTTGCCCACCAGTAAAAAAAGGAGTAAGGACCCCTATTTCTCCTCATCTCAGAGGTGATTTATGAATAAGTGAGAGCAGAGAAAGGTATGCAAAAATCCCTACAGGGTCCTCTGTGGGCCCAAAGGGTCCCACAGCCAGCCAGGGGCTCTGTCCTTCCATGGTTTCTCTGCAGTCCCTGCAAAACTCTCTGTTACACCAAAGAATGTCACGACAGCTGGGGCACTTTTCATCATGACCTGCAGAGGAGTGGATGTTGTCTAGACAGAAGACAGACAGCTGAGTCCCCTCGCTCACGCCCAACGGCCGTCTGTTTATAATATCTGGACTGAAACAACATTTATATACACGGGGTGAGCAGGAGCACCTCAGAACTCGGCTCATCTTTGCAAGAAGCAAGATGTGGGTCAAGACCCCTCTACCCTGAGTCCTTTTGGGAAGGACTGTGACACGAGGAGAGACAGTCCGGGTTCTAACCTAGGGCCCCTCACATGGCTAGAGCACACAGAGAAGCCACAAGGGCGGGGCCGACAGCCCGCTACCCCAGCTTCCCACAAACCTGGCGTTACCTTTATACACTGGCTTCCCTGTTCAGGGTTCTGGGTGCCTGCCTACCACTGTGACCTCCCCCCTCCCCTTCACGGACTGTTTCTAAATAAAACCAAATATGAACACATTTCCCCACAAAATAACATGTTCGGCCTGGCCCCGGGCTACTCAACATCATGGTGGCAAAAATGGAAGAGAAACACGACGTCAGATTCTGCCAAGAGTGTGTGGAATTAAAAAAAAAAAGGTGACAGGAGGCAAAGCCCCAGGTTATTCGGCAGAGAGCATTCTGGACTGACCGAACAGGCGTGAAGAGAACAAGTGGAGGAAGCCTGAGGGGGATCAGCCCAGCTGTGAACACGGACAGCAAGGGTGCATTTGGAGAAGTCCAGGGAGGGTGGGCACTGGGAGAGAGACAGCGATGGTGGACTGGAACGGCCTGAGCCAGCCTGGGGGCCTGGGGACGAGCAGTAAGAGGCAGCCAGGTGGGCTCAGGTGGCATGGCGCAAGCTCCCCTGGGGCGGTGGGCTTCTGGGGAGAGATCTCCAGCCAGCAGAGCCCTGGCAGGGGCTGCGGGGCGCTTGCACGAAGGGCCCGGACAAAGAAGCTGCCACGACTTCGCGGACTAGGAGCGCAGGGCAGTGAGGCGGTCTGCCGAGCCCGAGCGGCAGGGCAGGGCAGGCCGGGGGTAGAGCGCGACGCCCCAGGGCTGGCTGCTGGTGCCCAGTGTGGGGAGATGCTCAGTGGGGCCCACCGCCTGGGGAACGCAGGGGAAAGAGGAGGAAGGAGAAGAAGCCAGGAAGCCACCAGGTAACAGGAAAGCAGAAAAATGGTAACAGGGCCGGACTGCTCAAAAAGCACAGGGAAACCTCCCCGGACCCCCACTTCCAGGCACAGCTTGGAGCGGCAGAGATGACAGGGGCCAGTGTCCGGGAGCTGCAGGCGGCGGAGCTGGACCGAAGCCTTCTTGTCCACCTGCTCTCACCCCAGCAACCTGCTGCTTCTGGTCACACTTCAATCCCCTCCTCCCGGCCGGCATGACACCAGGTGCCACGCTGCCCTGCCCTGTGTGTTCCCCAGGGCCAGCTGGGCCTGCTCCCCGGATGACGCCTCTTTTTTGTCCGTGGGGGCCTTCCTGCCTGGGAAGCAGACTCACCATAGGTGAAGAAGCTCGGCAGATAGAGGACCTTCCTCCCCAGCACATTGGTCCCAATGGTGGGGGGCATCGGCTCATGACCCACCTTCAGAATCAACAAATACAAAAGGAAGGTCAGATTCTACTGCTGATCCAGCTCACGGCTGCTCATGCCCCCAGGCCTCTGCCTCTTCGCCCACAAATTCCAACGCTGCTCCTGTTGGGTGTTTTCCTTGGAAAAACATACCAGAAATGTCATCGGCAGTCTAGAACCACCAGCATCACGCAAGCTCCCAACCAATGGAAACGTCTAGTCCCAGATCCGACCCCTACCACAATCCAAGTCACCCTGTCCCCCAACATTCTCACCTTCAAATTCCAGACATTTCCAGCGCGGGAAACCACCCCCCCTTTTATGTACTCCAAACCCTGTACTCACCTCAGAATAAATCTCAGGTAATTCCCATCTCTGGGCTAAAATTTCAGTCCAATCTCAACCCCAAATGTGCCAACACCCACATCTCAGTCCCGAACTTCAGACAGCTTGGCTCCAAGTAACCCACCCCAGAGTGCACCCCACACTCAAGTTCCTTACTGCACCCACTGCAGAGGCTGACAAATCTGTCCCTCTCGCTCCCAGGCAGCACAAACCGGTTGCTCCTCAAACAATTCCTCATCTGTGTTCTAATCTTGATCACTTCATATCCCTGTGACAGAATGACCCCCTCATTTCTGTAGGGCTATTGTCATTCTGCTGTATAGACGCTGGTTATAATTATAACACCCGTTAAACTCATGGGGGAGGAGAGAGGACACAGCCACCCACACCCCTTTGGGGGGGTCTCTCCTGAGGGGTGAGGCCATTTATTATGCTGCCAACTGATGAGGAGAGAGACTCTGCTGCCAGCCAGGAGGCAAGGTATCTCCTAAGTAGGGTGCGAGAAGTCCCCTTCCTGGGCAGGGGGCCAGGACACAAGCCCTGTCCCTCAAAGGAAGCCAGCCAAGCCCCTGGACCAGAGCAGCTCCTCTGGGATGTAGCAGGGAGCAGAAATGGCAGGGCTGGGAAGCTCTGCCTTAACAACTGGACCAGGTATGCTTCTGGCATTTTCCTGGTCCAATTTCTTTTCTTCACCTTAGTCAAGTGTTTTTGAAAGTTCTGGCTGTCTCTTGTGGATGTCATTTGAGCTACACGACTGATCACTGACTGTAAATGAAGAAACCCCCTCCATGACGGCCACCTTCTATTAAAAAAAAAAAAAAAAAATTCTAGCCCAGGGGAGTTGAAGGAAAGGGATGAGCCAGCTGACCCAAGCTGTTAGCCCTTCCCCTCTAGACTTTTCCCCTTCTCGGATAAATGCTCGAAGGTTCTGACTTAAGTTTTAATTTCTCAGTTCTATAGGCGGTATTCTCTTTACAGCCTCAACTCCAAGTCTAAGCTACTACTGTTCTGTTGCTGTCTCAGTCTAGTCACAATTTGGGAGTCCTAGCCCTTCCACCTGCACCTTTAAATCTGCTGTGTCCCTTCACCCCAGAGCCCCCAAATCTGTTGAGTCTGTTTTTGTTAACTTCCACCTGGGGTTATAAAAGGCACACATCTCAGCCCCATCCCCCTCATCCTCAAGTTTGCCTGATTTGTGCCCAAGTCACATGCACCCTATTTCATCCCCAAATCTGTTGTTAACCCAGTCCTCCCACAGCCAGAGCTGTGGCCCTGCATCCGACACTGGCAGAGCCAGTTCACCACCCTCAAATCTCCGACCCCTGAAACTTGACTCGGATGAACCCCAATCGGAGGCCCCACATTCTTGTTCACTTGATCTAGCCAACCCCCAAATCTGCCACTCCAATCCTGCCACCTGCCCCCCAAACCGGGAGCTGCCTTTTTGCAAACTATGGCTGATTCCCAAGTTGTACATATTAAGATTTCACCCTAAAACATGTTACACTCAGCACCAGTTGGGTTCAGATCAGACAGCCTACCTCTGTCACCCGGACTGGGCTCACTCATCCTTACCTACCCAGTTCTTTTCACCCTTTGGTCTCCGTCATGCCCAATTCCCTCTTCAAATCACTCGTATTTCAATTCTCTTCTCAAACCTGCACACCAAATCCACCATGAAGCCGCTTCTCATTTTGTTCACATGAACCGCCCCCCCGCTCCCACCAATTCCTTATGTACTCCAGCATGCTCTACCCCACAGACCCTCCCATCTGCCACCCTAAAAACCCAGCCCTCACCCAATCTCACTCCGTCAGATGAAAAACTGAGCCCCTGATACCCTTACTTCTCAGGTAACGTCAGTTCCAAAGCCCCCACCTTCTCTGCCAAACCTGTAATCTCTACTGCTAAAAATACGATCCGAATTCCCTAAGTAAAGCAGCCCTCACTCCCAAATCACAACCAAATGCCGGTCTCAATCTTCCCCCACAAGCCGATTCCAAATCTCAAGTCACCATTAGATGCTAGTCAGGCATCCTCATGTCCCTGACTGAATCTCTTCATTACTTGTCATATTCCCGGTCACACCTAAAAATCTACTGCCCCATTCCTCAGACCCCGGATTTCAATTGCTCCCATGCCAACTGGATCTCCCACTCTCTCTGTCCAGTTATAAAGACAGTAAGTCTGGCGTCCACTCGCTTCAATTCAAACCTTAAATCTTGGTTGGCCTCCATGTCAATTTTCACCCCCCATCCCCCCCCCAACTGGAAAATTCTAGGTGAAATCTTCAGTTATCAGTCCAGGCTGGAACCACCCCCATCTAAACAGTGCCCATCTCAGTCTCGTCCACCTGATTCTGCCAAATGCACTCCTTCTACCTGGCCTCCTTCCAGCTCAATGTCTCCCTTTCTCAAGCAGCCCACTTCATCTGCAAGGCCTTGCTGGCCACCACCATATGCCAAGTGCCCCTGCATGGCTCCATTCCAGAGTCATCCCTACTTTGGCCTCAGTTTCTGCCAGCCTCTACCTATCCTGCTACTGTATGCCCCAAATGCCCCTTCTGCCCAATTCCAACACTCCATAACCCATTCCCCCCCCATACAAGGACTGCGAGTCCCATCTCCCGACCCCAACTGTGACTTTCATTTTCTCTTCCAAATGCGTCATCCCTTTCCCCCTAAAAGCCTCCTCCTTCTCGGTCCCCTGTCCAGACAAATCGCCATCACACCCCTCCCCCACTGCGTCGCCCTATCTGTTCCCCTCCCTCAAAACGCGTCACCCTGCCACCTCCTCCCATCAAATCTGTCGTCGCCATCAAATCCAGAGCCCCCTTCTGCCGCAAACGCATAGCTCTCCCCTGCTAAATCCTTTGCCTTCGCCCTCTCCCACCAAATTCCCTCACCATTAAATCCACCGTCTCCTTCCCACCCCCACTCCCCCCAAGTCTGATGCCCTTTCTTCTCTCCTAAATTTTTGGCCCTGGCCTCCAGTCCTTTGTCCCCTCAAACAGCTTTAAATCCATCTCTATCAAATCCAGAGCTCTTGCTACCCCCGCCCCGCCTTTAAATATGTGCTCTTCATCTAAATACTCCGCCTTGGCCCCCAGTTCTCCTCCCCGCCTATTCGCCAAAACTTCCCCGCCCCTCCCCCATTCTGTTACTTCTTTACTCGCCCTAAAATGCTGCCCCTTCCCTCCTATTCCAAGTTCATCGCCTCCCTTCCTTCATCCTCCAAACCCCTCTCTCCATTCCTTCGACCCCTTCCCTGCACCCACCAAATTCCTTGTTCCTTCCATCCTCTCCCAAATCTGTCGCTTCTACCCCTCCGCCCCCTTTCCTTCACCCCCAAGCCCCTCAACGCTTCCTTTCTCCCCGACTCCTTCAGCCCAAACCTACCGTCCTCGCCCCTATCCCCAAATCCGTCGCCATAGACTCCCCGCCCCCATCCTCCTCCAGATCCCGGCCTGTCACCTTCACATCAGCCCCCACCTCCCTGCGGCACCCTGGCCCCCGACCTGGATAAGCAGCTTCACGTAGAGCAGCGGGTGGCTGAGCGCCGTCACGCCAGCGCCCAGCGCCACGAAAAGAGCCTCGGTGGTCGGGGCGTTGTCCCCGGAGCCCAGGCCCCCGGACCCGCCGTCCATCCTGCGGGCGGAGGGCTGTGCCGCAGGCCGAGGGTGGCGCGGGTGTGCACGGTGCGCGGGCGGCGGATCGCGAGCCCGAGCCTCGACCCCCGCCGCCGCTCCGCCGCGAGCTCCCGCTCCTGCTCCGGCTCCCGCCATCCCCGCGGCACCGCCGCGAGCCCAGGGCGCCACTTCCGGGTCCGAAGCCCCCATGGCGCCGGGCGGCGAGGTCACTCCCCGTCACGTGACGGGAGGGCGCTCCGCCCCTAGCAGGCGTCAGGGGGCGGGGCCGGGCCGCACCACTCGCGGCTGCGGGGGAGCGTGGGTATGTGGCGCGGAGGGTGGTACGAGCTGATGCGGCCCGCGGGCGGGATTGGGGCCTGACCCAAGGCTGGGTTGCAACCCGGGGGTCAGTGGTCGCGGGCGGCACGGGCCGGGAGTTCCGGGAGTGTGAAGGCTGCCGCCGGCCCGGGCGCTCCCCCGCGAACCCCCCCGAAGGCGGCGGGGGCGGGGCTCGACGGTTGTGCCAGCCAGACGCCCCCAATATGGTCTGAGGCGCTTCCAAGCCCCCTCCCCGGCTTGGTGAGTTTTCTCCGCAGTTCTGGACCCGCCCCTTTGCGGCTCGGAGCCCGGGCACTGCGGCCTGCGAGGCCTCTTCCCGCCGCTTGAGCTCCTCCGCGCTGTCCAGTCGTGTCTTACGCCTTTATCCTCCCCGCTAAACCAAATCTGGGAGCCCCTTAGTGACTGTGGTCACCCTCCTTTGTAGTTGAGCCTTCGCGAGCGTTCCTTAGAGCCCACGGTTAGGAAAGTGTTTGTCCTAAAGTATTTGCGTATCTCCCTCACTACATGGTGAGGGTTTTAATCAGTCTTTAACTGGGAGGATACACAGGCACCGTGCTAGGCATCGAAAGTCTAATATTTACATGAGTAATGATAACTGGCCCTCAAATCACGCTCACTATATGCCAGGCATGTTAAAGTGCTTTTCAACACGTTAACTCAAGAATGATCCTGGAGGGGCCCCTGGGTGCCTCAGTGGGTTAAGCCTCCTACTCTTGACTCTTGATCTCCGCTGAGGTCTGAATCTCAGGGCCTCTTGACTCTTTCTTGATCTGATCTCTGCTGAAGTCTGAATCTAAGGGTCGTGAGTTCCAGCCCCACCGGGTTCCATGCTGGGTGTGGAGGCTACTTAAAAAAAAAAAAAAAGGATCCTCGTAACAACCCGGCGAGGAGAAGGTGTTTATTACAGCAAGTACCCTGTCCCTGTTTGTATCCGTGCCCACCCTCACCCCTAACAACACCTGGAACAGTGCCCTGCTGGCAGAGGAGGTGCTCAAACGTTTATCAAAACAAATTGAGTATCCCAGAGTCTGCAAGGATACAGCAGTGGGGCACCCGCTCCAATTGCCGGTACTTATCCTGTGTTCTTTGTGAAAAAGTGCTTTAGAATAGACGTCTGCCTTCTGACCACCTGGTCCAGGTTTCCTTCAGTCAGCCCTGACTCCCTTCCTCCCTTTCCCCCTAAAAAGCCACCTCCTACCCCCTTGCCACTCCCGACAATAAGTACTCCATACACTGCCCACATCCAAATCCTGCCCATCTTTTTTTTTTTTTAAGATTTTATTTATTTGACAGAGAGACACAGCGAGAGCAGGAACACAAGCAGGGGGAGTGGGAGAGGGAGAAGCAGGCTTCCCGCTGAGCAAGGGAGTCCAATGCGGGGCTCAATCCCAGGACCCAGGGATCATGACCTGAGCCGAAGGCAGATGCTTAACGACTGAGCCACCCAGGCGCCCCAAATCCTGCCCATCTACCCCCTTCCCCTCCTCTCTCCCCTCCTTGGGCTCTCTAACCCAGGCTTGTTCTGGTCTCAATCACTACAAAGGTTTCTAGCCCTTTCAAGTTACACGTTTTCCTCTTCAAACACAACCTTCATCAAACCTACGCTAACCCCCAGGAGCACTTTAAATGACTTCCTTTTGCCGGGATTCTGATTTGGCTTTCTTAAAGAAATCTTAAAGTTAAGTTCATTCACAGCCTCAAGTAACATTGCAACAGCACACTCACTCTCCACCCAGAAATCAGGCTTCTGGATGGGGCGTGGTAGGAGCAGGGTGGGCTGGGAGGGGAGCTTGTAGTTGAGCCTTCGCGAGCGTTCCTTAGAGCCCACGGTTAGGAAAGTGTTTGTCCTAAAGTATTTGCGTATCTCCCTCACTACATGGTGAGGGTTTTAATCAGTCTTTAACTGGGAGGATACACAGGCACCGTGCTAGGCATCGAAAGTCTAATATTTACATGAGTAATGATAACTGGCCCTCAAATCACGCTCACTATATGCCAGGCATGTTAAAGTGCTTTTCAACACGTTAACTCAAGAATGATCCTGGAGGGGCCCCTGGGTGCCTCAGTGGGTTAAGCCTCCTACTCTTGACTCTTGATCTCCGCTGAGGTCTGAATCTCAGGGCCTCTTGACTCTTTCTTGATCTGATCTCTGCTGAAGTCTGAATCTAAGGGTCGTGAGTTCCAGCCCCACCGGGTTCCATGCTGGGTGTGGAGGCTACTTAAAAAAAAAAAAAAAGGATCCTCGTAACAACCCGGCGAGGAGAAGGTGTTTATTACAGCAAGTACCCTGTCCCTGTTTGTATCCGTGCCCACCCTCACCCCTAACAACACCTGGAACAGTGCCCTGCTGGCAGAGGAGGTGCTCAAACGTTTATCAAAACAAATTGAGTATCCCAGAGTCTGCAAGGATACAGCAGTGGGGCACCCGCTCCAATTGCCGGTACTTATCCTGTGTTCTTTGTGAAAAAGTGCTTTAGAATAGACGTCTGCCTTCTGACCACCTGGTCCAGGTTTCCTTCAGTCAGCCCTGACTCCCTTCCTCCCTTTCCCCCTAAAAAGCCACCTCCTACCCCCTTGCCACTCCCGACAATAAGTACTCCATACACTGCCCACATCCAAATCCTGCCCATCTTTTTTTTTTTTAAAGATTTTATTTATTTGACAGAGAGACACAGCGAGAGCAGGAACACAAGCAGGGGGAGTGGGAGAGGGAGAAGCAGGCTTCCCGCTGAGCAAGGGAGTCCAATGCGGGGCTCAATCCCAGGACCCAGGGATCATGACCTGAGCCGAAGGCAGATGCTTAACGACTGAGCCACCCAGGCGCCCCAAATCCTGCCCATCTACCCCCTTCCCCTCCTCTCTCCCCTCCTTGGGCTCTCTAACCCAGGCTTGTTCTGGTCTCAATCACTACAAAGGTTTCTAGCCCTTTCAAGTTACACGTTTTCCTCTTCAAACACAACCTTCATCAAACCTACGCTAACCCCCAGGAGCACTTTAAATGACTTCCTTTTGCCGGGATTCTGATTTGGCTTTCTTAAAGAAATCTTAAAGTTAAGTTCATTCACAGCCTCAAGTAACATTGCAACAGCACACTCACTCTCCACCCAGAAATCAGGCTTCTGGATGGGGCGTGGTAGGGGCAGGGTGGGCTGGGAGGGGAGCTTGCTTCACCTTACTTCTGAAACTTTTTCACACAAACCTCCTTTTCTGGGCTTTTCCTCACCATCTTTCTCCACCTGTTTTTCCTTCTGGACTTGACTGGTGTTCACTGCTAGGCCTTTTACTCTGTCCTCCTTACATGGTCACCTAACTTTTTGTGTGTGTTTGGTCCTTGGAGTCTGAGGCTCCATGGAAGGCGGGCAGCTACATTGTGTTGTGTGGTCTACAATGTAGCTGCCTTGCATTGTTTTGTATCTTCCTCCGCAAGGAATATGGGATTATGGGGACATACATAGAGTAAATGTTCAGTAAATTGGTTTTAAGTGATTGAACAAGTTCCCTAAGCAAAGAGATTAAAGTAAAAATAGATCAGCTAAAGCAATTATATCTCTAGGGATCTGAGCAGAAGCAAATGCAAACTGCACCATAGCTATATTTCCACAACCCAGGGCTCGCAGGGGCACCAGTAGGAAGAAAAAAAAATCCTCACAGGAAAAAAACTACAAACCACTCAAAAACACATCCCATCATGAAAGTGAATGGGCAAAACAGGAGGATTAATACTCCTGGGAACTTGACGTAATAAGGCAATCTGGAAGAGACTTTAAGGGGGGAAATGTATTTTCAAGTGAAGGCAAAAATAAAGACTAAGAAGTACTGGAGAAAAGGACAGTGTGAAAAAAGAACAGGAATATTTGAAAAGAAATCAAACAGATCATTTAGAAATGAGAAGTATACTTATTGAAATGATTGAATGAAAGAAAATCTTGCTCAGGATTCCTTCTGCTGAGCAACCTAGAAATAGTACTTAGAGCCATACTTAAGTACTTATACTTAATAGTACTTAGAACTATAAAGCAGTTAGCTCTGGGCTGGATTAGTGGCCCCCTGTGGTCCCATTACCATCTGCAATTACTTACCACAGTATTGTGGCTGCCTGCTTTCTTGTCTGTCTCCCTTGTTAGATGGTAAATTCCTTGAGAGCAGGACTGTCCTATTCATGCTGGCACAGTGCCTGGGCACATGGTAGAAACCCACTAAATGTTTTCTAGAAAATGAATGAATAAGCAAAAATACTTCAAAAAATTGTACAAAGTTATTATGGTAGCACCACTTACAGAATGAGAACTTTAGGAAGACCCATATGCCCCAAAGTAGGATAAACAGCAGAAAAATTAACAAGAAATAGGACTGTTGTAGACCTTGAGAATTGCCAAGTATATACACCACCAATCCCTGGAGTCTTTTGGGGAACTATTGTTACAATGAAAAGAGAATACAAAATACTAAGTACCCATTATTGCAACTGGGTTGACATCACACTAACCAGGTTAGGAGTGCACTTGAGATAATGCTGAGGTCGGCATGAGCTTTCAGGCCTCACACGGGGAGGGGCAAGGCAGATACTGGAGAATTGGAGATACTGGAGAATTTACTCTGCTTTAAAGAAGATGGGCTCGTTCTAGATGTAGGCTCCCTGTTTACTAGTTCTGGGTGAGAACATTCTGGCTGCTGTCTCTGTTCACTCTGGGTGGGGGTGGGGAGCACTGGCCTTCCTTCTGTCATGGAGCCCTGGGGTTCTGTGCAAAGCACGTTGGTTACCTTGTGGTGTAGGAATGCTTCCACCCAAGGAGTAAGGAGCTTCTCACTAGCTGGTAACCGCCCAGCTGTTCCTGTCCAAGGGGACTCTCTGAATTAGGGGAGCAGAGAAGCGTGCTAAGAGAGAGCCACCCAATTCAGGAAACACCTCTTGTTCTAATTATGCCAAAAGAAGGTACATTATAACTGATCATCTCAGGAATCCTGGCATATTGTGCAGGTCACCAGGGATGTATTGGCATGAGGAATCACTAAGCCTTCTGAGAGAAACATGGGAGACAGGCTGGGCTGACATGTGCGAGAGTGGAGGGGCGCCTGGGGGGCTCAGTCGGTGAAGCGTCTGCCTTCGGCTCAGGTCAGGATCCCAGACCAAGATCCCTGGGATCGAGCCCCGCATCAGGCTCCCTGCTCCACGGGGAGCCTGCTTCTCCCTCTACCCTTACCCCCTGCTCATGATCTCTCTTTCTCACTCTCTCTCTCTCAGATAAATAAATAAA